GCTCGGCTTGACTGTTGCAAGAACCCTCTGCCAAAGACATGGGAGCTTGCGCGCCTCCCTCATGTGCATGCGTATTTTGTGGGGTGCACACAAGCTGAAACAAGTGTTCCTGCTCGTGGGGAAGCTGTGGCAGCAAATTCAAAACATCTGAACGAGTATTATATTGGAAGCTTGGCGCGCAGTGAGCAAGGTTTAAGTCCGCCATGTAGTGTGTCGACCCTAAACCCTAAACCCTGCATGCCGCTTCGTTGCCACAACGATGAGAAGAAACGAATTGACTCCTCGTATGCTCCGAGACGGAAATTGCCTCACTGGACTCCACTAAACCATCTTGTTGAACGAGGTCTCTCTGAACCCTGAAACCTAAACCCTCTACAACCTCGTTGTGGTAAGCAATAATATTTTGTTTTGCCTCCTGCATGGCTGCGTACACGAAGCAGAAGCAACTCTTTTAGTAATACTAGGAATAATAGTAATCATCGTAATAGTAGTAATAATCGTGATACTGGTAATACATAATGATAACTATGCTATGCCTGAAGGCCTGGATGCTATCGAGTCGAGGTCCTGTGGATTCCAGCAAACCCCCGTAACCGGCACAGATCTCACGGTCAAGCTGCCGCAACGGCTCGAAGATGGGGCTCCGCCCGCATCTCCGCACAAGAGCCCTCAAAGAACGACACCGCTTAGTGCATACGGACCAGAGGGCTCCTATCCGTTTCAGTAGAAAGCTTTTTCTGCGGTTGACGGTGATTGACTCATGGAGTATCAGCGCCGGACTGCGAGTGTCTCGCATCTCGCACTCTTCTCCCCCAGTGGATCTAGCAGCTTTTTCAAGGGTTTTAACCCAATATTCAGATTCTTGGTTATGGTGATACAGGCATCGGCATCTGTATGCGGCCTGGAGAGCGGCCAGAAGGCCTTCTATTGGCATCCGCATGCGGCCTGAAGCCCCGTCTTTTGTAGCCAAATCAAGCTAAAGCTAGAGGCCTGAGGTAAAGCTTGTGTTTGCACCGCCGGGGGAGCACCGTTATGAGCACGGGAGAAGATCTCAAATTTGGTTGCCAACGACACTTGAAACACTCTTGAAACAACGTTGCATCATTGATGCTTCGTGTCTGAACATGGCATTGCCATCTCAGGCCGAGTCGCACTCACATGAGTGGGCGGTGGCGCGTGTGCACCACTTGCGTGCAGCTGAAATAAGCTTCCACCTCTGCACGGCCCTGCAACTGAGCGGCGGCAATCTCGACCTGCTTGGTGCTCCTTCGCCCTGGGAAACGGTAGCCCCAAATGGCATCCTTAAAACGCACAGCGGTCCCGAGCTCAATGAAGTTGATGAAGCCGTAGCCAATCCCCTGCTTGTGTCGCCGGTTCATTGGGAGGTAGAAGAAGTCATAGGTCCCAGCAAAACCCAAGGAATCCACAGCACGCAGAACCTCTTCTGCGCTGCAGCGGCATGGGATGTTCCTGATCATGACCGTGTGGAGGTCCTCCAAGTCTGGGTCAAAGCCTAAAGCCCTAACGTCCGCGCTGCTCGGGACCTCAAACCCAACATGAGCAGTGCCCTCACAGAAACCCCGACAGCAACCGAAGGCCACAAAGCATACCTCCATGTCCACCCTAAACACTAAAAGCCCTCTTACCTATTTCCTCGAAGTCCACCCAACCCCTAAACCCTATAAAAGCCCTAAAAACTTTAAAAGTCCACCCTCAACCCCAAACCCTGTAAGCCCGAAATCCTGCAAGTCCACCCACAACCCCAAACCCTAAACGCCCTCAACCTTGATAACAACCTGTTTGTAACCCTTGTAGTGCTCGAAACCCTACGAACCCGAAACCCTAAACCCTGAAAGGCCGAAAAACCTTCAAGTTCACCTTAACCCTAAAGCCTGGAAGCCCTCAAACTGTACCTCAATATACTATACTCTGCTCTTCCCTTTTCTATCGTCTAGTATACTGCATTTTATTCATAGCCTACAATACCCCCAAACCCTAAACCCTACCTCCAAGTCCGGGTCGTCCGGGTCAGAGTTCGCGGAGCTTGGCGAGTCCCGAGTCGTCTGGCGCTCGAACTCCGAGTCCACGGGGCTCTCGCAGTCCTCAGCTACTGTAGGGGCCTTAAGAATTAGAATAGGGTTCCATAAGGGTCTAGAAGGGTTACAATAAGGGATCTTTAGGTCTATAGGTCTTTTAGTTTCGGGTTTAGGGGGTTTGGGTTGAGACTTGTCTTCTTGATTGAAGGCCCGCACTTAGCACTTGCTTGTTGGTTGGTTCAGGGTTATGTTCTTCAAAACTCCTTTTATTTACCCTCTCCTCAGGCCTCCCACCACATCGTGGAAGGAGGACAAGCGGTCGTGCGGCCGGACAGCATCTACTGCAGGGGCCTAAATCATTAGAATAGGGCGCATTCGACTATAAATATAATCAAGAACTCCCAGTATAGGTCATTATTAAGGCCCTTATATTTGACTCACAAATTACCGCCATCCTCGACCTTGTCGTACGAACCCTTGCATCACAACTTCAACACCCAGCATCACCGCTTTGTCACCATCTTAGTCCCCTCCACCGTTTAGGGTTTATGGCTTAGGCGCGTCCACAGGGTTCAGAACTCAAGGCTTAGGCTTAGTATTTGATGCTGTTAAGGGTCAGGTTGCCTCACCCAAGGTCTGAGGAGTTAATCGTGTTTAGGGTCACTAGGGTTATTAGGGCTATATAGCAGGGTTTAGATCGGGTCTAGGGCTGAGTTGATTTATGTTGTACCTGGCTAGAGCCTCAATGTTAGGATAGGACCCCTGAAGCCTCAACGCGAAACCGTAAACGTTGGAGCAGCGGGCTACAAGCATCGACTCAAAGGAGGACAGAGTATAGGACAGTTTGGGGTTTAGGGAGTAAGGGTTTAGGGCTTCAGAAACCACGAATTCGAACAGTCCTGAGTCGACACAGACATGGTAGGTGTGTAATCCAGCCTGGATGCCAAGAGAGCTACCACTGAAAACGTCATGCTATTCTGTTTATCAGGGGCTACAGGATATTTCCGGGGGGGGGGGGGGGGGGGGGTTGGGGTAATGAAACAAACGCACGGTTGAAGACTGTTGTTTGTGACTACTAGTCTACAAAAAATGAAGTCAGAGGACACATGATCCCGCACAGCCGAGAGTCGCGATAGTCTGTACTCACGGTGCTGCCACTCAGGATTCGGGTGAATGGCTTGGATTCGTTAATCTCGGCCTCCACAAAATCTTCGTACCTTGCGTGAGGAGGAGCGCTCATGGAGCGGCGGTTACCACGAGAAACGATCTCAACATCCAGAAAGCTGTTCCTGGGCTTTCAAGAAACCAGGGAGAAAAAAGTATAGACTTTTTATTCATGATTGGTTCCCTTTATGTACCAGGTCCCAAAAAAAGTATTAAGGTATGGTACTCCAAAGCCCAGGTTCCTGTTTACCAGGACTGCCGTTCCGTCATGGAAGGAGAACTCGATTGGAGCTGTTGTCGCCATGCTGAGCCTCGAGATTCCAAGTGTCGAAGGTCCCCCCAAACTGGGCCAACAAACTTGAGCCGGAAATTTCGGATGTCGGCCGCGTAACTTATGGAAGCCTCACGCAGGCCCTCACGTGAGTTGACTTGCGCCTATAAGCCTTGATAGGACCTAATCAAACGCAAAGACAGCAAAGCGGAAAAGGTGGAAAAGCCTTCGTTACCGTGCATCTGTTCATGACGCAGATGTCGATAACATTGCTTGGTCTGTACTGCCGTGATAGGCATTCCGTCGCGGCGACTGTCGCGCGCATGCAGGTCAACTTAAAACCCCGAACTCCGTGCAGGCCTTAACCCCGTACAACAGGGTTCTGGCAATGCGATCGAAGATTCCAGTTGTAGCACCCGTCAAGGCAGGTACTACTGCACAGGGGCATAAGTACCACCTCCTGCGCGGAAACTGCCCCGGTTCCCTCCGAATTCAATCCTTTTAGGGCATGGAAGCAGCTGCATGCAACGAATCAATCCCATGCCCAAATTAATGGAAACCTGAACACCGATCTGCATGTCCCAACCCGATGTGCCTTGGTTGGGTCAATGCCCATGAGCAATTTGCCATGCCAGGTTTTCGGAAGCAGGATGATGGCCAGCCAGAACGGATAGTTTAACGAGGTCTGGCGGCCCGCTGCGCTGTAAGAAGAGGGGGGGAGGGGGTGTAGGGATTCGGGCCTGAAGCTCTTGTGGGCCTTTGGGTTTGTTATGCTCACGTAAGCTTGAGCCAATCTCACATCATGTCTTGCTTTGCTAGGACAGTGTCACTGCATGAACTCCTTGCATTCAGCTGGCATGCTGGCTCGATGGACCAGCCTGTATAAGCTGTCGAGTCTAGTCTAGTTACCGAGTTGGACACCCAAATGATTTCAATAAGTTGACGAAGGTTGAGAATGTGCCTGCTGTTGGAAGCAAGAATGCCCATCTTCGGTTTGGGCCATTGATGGTGAATTCAACAATGATGGGGATTGACTGTGAGCTGTCTAAAATTCCAGATTCCATTACCGGCCACTACCATCCACCAATTCTAAGACGTACGATCGTTGTCCCAGAAACATCATAAGTACTGCCGGTCATCTCGCTTTCATAACTGCTAGGATGAAAACAACTAAACAATTTTTACTGCTAGCAATATAAACTTTGTACTGAGCGTAGCAGGAAAAATGCTACTGGTAGCAGTAGTTAGTTGTGGTAGAAAAAGTATCGGTATGACGGGAAGCACAGCAGAATTCTGCAATAAGGCGACTGCGAGCGATGACTGCAACTTCGATCTCGACGACCCAGACTATGACGACAATTGTTATTCGACCAGGCATACGAAAACACCAACTTCTCCCACCGTACTACTGGCAATTACAGTTTTGCTTTGCTTGCGGAGAAGTCTTACATCATGCCATGTAGATGTAGATCCGTGCAAGCACCCTACGACGCAAGTCGCCCTAGTACCAAATCCTGCTGCCACATAGCCCAGCGGGCATAGTCCAGCGTAGCCGCCTTGAAGTCGATGTAAAACTCGTCGAATGAATACCTTGTCTGCTGTTTGCGCTTGTGTAGCCATTTGGTGAATGCACAAGATACTTTGGCATGTGGCTTCAGGCTCTTCCTAGTGTGGCTTTTTCTAGCACACCTTGCAGCTGTCGGGCGCAAACTGGTGAAGGGCAGCCAACTTGCTGCACAAAGATGCGATTCATCACCAAGTCTGTTGTGGTACTGCGTAAGCCAATACCTCAAGTTTGAAACGGTTGCTCCAGCCACGCAGTCTGAAATCCTAAATCTTGACGGATCCGACATAAGTTCCCAACATTCCCAACCCCATCAGCACAAGCATAGAGTTCAAGAAGCTCATGTTTTGATTCACACGATCGCTGCACCGTTAAACCGTGCCCCACGCCCCGGTCAAGTCTAGGTACCCCGGGTTTTGCAGGTGTTTAGGTTCCGGATGATTGGGCAATTTAAGGCTTTCAAGGCTGTGGACGATGCATTGTAAACGCAGCATCTTGAGGATAAGATAGGGACTTGTGCTTACATGAACGTGAAGGTTCAGGACTCGCGTACCTTGGGGTTCTGGGGTCGTTGCCCGTAAACACCCGCAAGGCTTGGAAGCTGCAGCTGTTGGAGCTAGCTGCTTGTAGTCGTCGACAATCTCATCCTGTCAGCAGCACCCAAAGGGTCCAAGTATCATTATGGTACATACTCAGACCCCCCAAATACCCTATAAGTATATACCATCATCATACTTGGACCCTTTGGGACAGTCAAAAGCAGAGGTAGAACGACAAACAACGGCGGGATGTGCAGAGTAGGGTCGTGCAAAGACGACCACGAGGCCCAGAGTTCGGAGGTCCTTGCTTTGGTGACAACTACACCCTTGGAGTCTGGTGGCTCTGGGACTCCATCATAAGGCCCAGTGGCCAGTGCTAATGCAGATCGGCTGTTTTTCCCCGGCTGCTGCAGAAGACGGCTGAATGATGCTGATGCCCTCAGAGCCATTCAAAAGGATCTTCGCGACACGCGATGTGCCGGAGGACGACTCCAAAGTCCCCAAAACCCCATATGTATGCATATACATATATATATATATATATATATATATATATATATATATAATATGTGTATATATATAAACATGTAGACATATACAATGTACAATTACATATTCATGGCACAGACACACACACATGCTGTTCATGCATCTGTATCTTTCTAGCTGATTCTAACTTTGGTTTGTCAAACTCAACATCGAGCTAGGTTCCCGAGTGTGCCTGTGTGCCTTCCTCCCGGTACGAATGGAATCCGCTCCGAGATGGCAAGATCTCACACCCTGTGTCTCTGTCTGTTGCGAAGACTTCGCATGCTTGTGTGCGTCTCTGTGTGTGTGTGTGTGCGTCCACACGTTAAAGTAGTCCGTGCATTGTAGGTGCACACCGATCGTCTGAGTGTGCATACACGTCCGTTCTGAGCATAAAGAATGTCCCCGTCATGCAACCGACCACCGAGACAAAGCTATAGTTCATAAACAGACCCTGATTCAGCAACGGTCGGTGGGTTGCGGAAACTCCAACTACAATCGAACTCCTTAAACCCAGAATCTGGGCCAGGCATGACTTTAAGAAAGCCGTGGACACAGAAACACATCCTGGGATCCTGATACCTTTGACTCGCCCGATTAGGCTGACGTGTTTATTGATGGCGGGCCTCTACGCTGCCGCAAAAGAGATAGATCATGTCCTCGGAGGGTTTAGGGTTTAGGGGTTGTAGGTTGGGGGTTTAAACTTGCCTCACTCTCACAGTTTCAGACTTAGTGGAGAACCGAACGGGTTCGGCAGTAAGAGCTCCAATACATGAGCTAGTTGCACTCAAACAAATTTTTTTGCGTAGTTTACAGGCCACACCACAGCCACTGTCACGTGACCACCGATCTTGAAGCGGTGGCTTCAAACACTCTCATACAAAATCTGGTGATCGACTCTTCATTTTGGCCTGCAGGGCTCTCGGCCTTAACAAGCCTCGTCCAGCCGGTCGAGAGCATGAATTGTTTGACCTTGTCCTGAAGGCTCACAGCAAGACTGGCCTGACGCTTGCCATCCTGAATACACCACCGCCGAGTGCCAGCCATACTGAATACATCACCTCCTGTCAGTGCCCCGAACCCGAAACACGCAATCAACCTTCTATCTCATAAGCCCTACTGAAACCTTAAGATCTCAACCATAAACCCAGTCAGAGTCCGGGATTCCGTCGCACCTATGCCAGGGCCAGTCCACTGCCAGTCAATGGCCGCCACCCCCTCCCCTGGCTTCAAGCAAGCTGCAGCACTGCAAAATAGTTTCTGGCTCTGGCTCTTGACTTTCTCTAACCATAAGCACCTTATAGGATCCTAAGCATGAACCCCATAAAGGAACTACAATGGCACTACGGAGCCTATGGGCACTTTTGCCACCCACCAGGCGCACAGCAGGGACTCACGAAGAGATAGGCACCTTGCTTCAACCAAATAAACAATCTCAACGCTATAACTTTGCATCGGTGACTGCTCCTTTGCTGGGGTCCAGTAAACCACAGCTCGAGCTGTATCTGCAGCGCTACGGGCGTAACCGATCACCTTCTAGCTCTATAAGAAATTTACGTGGCGCAAGGTAGGCTTTTATCACAGATGTTGCTGAACGACGGCCCTCATGATCGCTAACAGGTGCAGACTGCTGCCACGGAAACACCTGACTGCGGAGGGGTGGTCTTGGGCTAACGGCTTATGATGTCAGTCACAGGGAATACAGTGACCGAGAAAAGCACGAACCCTGTATCGGAATGCAAGCTGCTCGACAGAAGAGCACGGCTCTCCTGAATCCATTCATGTGGTCCTGACCCCCTGCCCGCAAGCTTTAGGGACGACCCCCACCCAATAACCGCTGGAGCCCAGACCCTTGACCTTGAAGTACGGGCCTGGTCTGGCTCAGTGGAGGGCTACAGAGCGCGGGGATTTGCGTTCTACTGTCTGCGCTGCCAGCCTTCATTCCGGAGGAAGTAGTTCGCGCCCTTGAAATCCTCGGCTGGAGACACGTCGAAAACAGCCGTCTCTTGCCCTCGTCATTCCACGCTCATCGGATTGCATGCTGACGGAGGTCGAGTGTAGAATGTTGGGGGGCAGAAACCACACTTCAACAAAGCGTAAGATTCATGCTCCTGGTCCTGGCCGCCACCACAACATCGGTATTACCACTACCGGCATGCATTCTGAAAAAGCCTTCTGGTCGTAATTTGCGCTTTGTTTTGCATCCAGCCTTTGCAATCACACCAACAGTATTGCAGATGCGGCCTGCTACTCCGGCAGCGATGTCTGTACCCTAGGGCTCCATAGTAGTTCCCTTTTGGGGTTCATATTTAGAATCCTATAAGGTGACCCCAAAAAGGAACTACTTTGGAGCCTCTGGGCAAACATCAACAATGACAAAACAACGACAGCGGTCATGGTTGCTCATGTGCGAAACCATGGCTGCACCAGAAGCACTAGTCCCGGGATGAGGGAGCAAACAGCAGCACTATTGCAACTGCCTCCGCCCACACCACTACCGTTGCCGTTGCGGGGGGGCGGGGGAGCCTGGGGCCATCTTTGGCATGACCATAATCAGGGTTTTTGTGGCACTACTTTCGTGCACGAGTCTCTCCATGCACCATCGTCGTGCGATGTTGGTTCTGCGGCCTGTCGGGCTCTCGAGAAGCGGGATGCTTGATTTAATCCCGCTGGTGGGGATGGTGGGGGAACAGGGTCAAGTCGAAGGGTTGCGGCTGTGACCGTGTAGCAGGCCATCCAACAAGACCGACGGATTGAAAGTGTAAAGCCGCAAGCCCCGTCACCCACAGGATGCGGTCTACGGGTGCAGCTTGCGAAGCTGCTAGGCTATGCGATCTTTATGGTTGCTTTCGGTCTTGCTACTCTACTCCTACTACTCCTCCTCCTGCTGCTGCCACTTACTACTACTACGACGACGACTACTACTACTACTGCTACTACTACTTCTACTGCTACTACTACCACTACCGCTCCCACACTTTCGCCGCATTGCCCGCCTTGGGGTCAAGTGCCTTGCCACAAGAGGCGCCACGATCCGAAGGCGCTCTCCCAATGAGGCCACCTGCTCTCGTCTTTTCGCTCTTCCCGGATACAAGGAATAGAAGAACAAACTTCTTGCAACGGAAGCTCTTTCTAGGCTGAAACTCATGATGCCAGCGGCTTCAACCTCAAGGCTCTAGGTGACTGGCCCAGGTTTACCCTCTCAGCTCTCCGGCACTGCTCCGTGCAGACCGGAAAACCCCCTTCCAAGGCGAGGATGCTTTACACAGCCCGACGAAGACACAAGAAACTCAAAAACCGGGGAGCGCCCTTCAGCCTTAAGTTTGCCACACATTCGCAAACAAACCACCGGAACAAAGATGCAGAAATCTCAGAAAGGAAGCCTGATCCCAGAAATCCTAACGCTTCCATCGAAATTTTAATCTGTGTCCAAAGCTGAAGTTCCTGTCGCAATGCATGCAGTAAGCTCATCGTTCAGGCCAAAGCTCAGGAAGCAACCTTGATTTCGATTACATACTGGCCGCACCGATTCCCTCTGCTAGAACATCACACATCCACAGATAAAATCTTGTGATGTTCCAACAGGTGAGCCTCTGGTCGTGCGAAGAACGGGTCAATGCCTCCCACGGTCGCGGTTCGGTTTAAGGGCGCTTAAGTATGATTGTCGGGTAAACTTGCGTCCTACAATGTTCTAGGCTGACTTCTGGACCACTCCTAAAAGTTAAACTTTTAGCCTTCTTATTATAGTCCGTCTAGAACCAAAAAAGTTAAAGTCGTAAGAGCCAACCAGAAGAACGCCAAGTATTGATAGATATTTTCGACCTGCTAGCAACACATGTTCGAAAGGAGATGTCGCCCGATACAGGTCTGTCCCAGATAGCCAGATTTTCCTTGCATCAAGGAGAAGCCCTTGACTACAGAATCCTGGGAGGAATAATTGCGGGCACCTGACACACGCCAGGACTTTACACCCCCTTGGTTGCGCTGTGATGCGGCCGTGCCTTCGAAGGCTTTGCTGAAGCTCGCAATGCTTGCAGGCAGCATGTCAGTTTCTCCCGGTGGACGCCTGTCCAAGTGCACGTGCGTACCTTGCAGACTGCAGCCAGGCAGCGGGCCAGAGCCCGCGAAACTAGATCTCTGGTGCAGTAGCTGCTGCAACCAACATCAATCATGACCAAAACCTCTTTCACACATGGCCTCAAACCAGTGCAACCCCGACTGTTCGGAACTATACAGCAAGCACGAAGCCCGAAGACTAGCCGACGAAACAGAACATTACACTCAGTAGACTCAGTCGACCCATCCGACATGGGACACACTGCAATATTCTAACATGTTCACACCCTGGATAAGACATCATCGCCTGAAGCCGCCCATCCCACACAGCTTTTGAGACCCTAACTGATAAGGAATACCTGAAACATTCTCCAAAAATCAGCAGCCGTCCTCAAAACTAAAACCCTAAACCTAAACCCCAGACCCTTAAACCCCACATTATGCGGATCAAGCGCCAAAGTCCCAAAGAGAATGGTCGCTGGGCACTCGCCCCTGGAAGGCGCCATGGAAATCCTCTAGCAGGCTTTAGGGTTTGGGGGTTTGGGCTTTAGGGTCTTCTGAGTTCTGAGGCTGTCGAGTTTCGAGGA